CTCGTGTCAGCACAGTCATCACCCAGTATTAACAGTTCTCGGATCAACAGCACCTGCTCATTTTCCTTTTCACCCACATTCTGTCCAAATCCTTTCTCTACTTTGAATATTTTGTGACACCAACAGCACTTCTAGAGAGTCCTGCATAGGTCAGTTTACTGATGAAAGACTAACACCCTGTACTGAATTTTAGAACACACTTTTCAACAGTTCCCAGAAATTTCAATACATTTTAAACTTTTAAACAAACTACTGCATAGCTTCATTTGTCATAAGCCTACTTTCTCAAGCCTACAGACAGTTAACTTCCTCTATTATGCCTGGAAGCTAAGTGGGCTAAAAGCATTTTTGACGAACAGTGGTCTGAGTGTGGAAAAACACAATTAAAAACTGAGTGGGTTTTGTTTCATTCTAATCTATATTCAAACTTAATTTTATCAATATTCTATTCTCTCATAAATATGTTTTACTTCAATACTGAACGTGTACAAAGGATTTATATTTTATTTAGTATTCCATTCCTTAAGAATATATATTCCAGATATGAAGAAGGTATTTGAAAGAACATATTCCCAAATGAGCAAGAGAACAGGCTACTGGATGCAGAAACACCAGGCTATTATATTCCCTGTTGATGTGAGGACTGTAGCTTTAAGCATTTCACTTGGTAATCCCACAGGAATACTTTGAGGAATAATTATTTCAGGTATCAGTGAGTACTAAGGCAGTACTAAGAAATGAATGAAAGGTCTTCCTCTTCCCCTGGCCCTCCAATGCAGGCATGGCATGAAGGAAGCTAAAATTAAATTGACTGATAATACTCATGCAACTTTTTCTGTACCGCATTCTCCTTAAGGGATTCACCCTCAGAATCAGTTGGGCTGAGTTTCCGAACATCACCATCAGACGTTTTTGAGCGAGGGGTTTTTTTACTAGGAAAAGAAAAACATTCACACATAAACCCACTACACACTGAGAAAGAACAATCTTCAACCACTTACCCAACAAAACCTTCTGTTCTGGGGAATATTTTATAGTGCTATGTCACTTACCTTGTGTTTCCTAAATAGACTACACAAGAAGTTGCAAATGGCATATACAGGGAGCAGAATCTTTATCCCTCAGCAGCAACCCTCATGACAACTTCAAAACCCATTGCTTACTGACCGCTGGGATAACCATGCTGTATT